TGGAGGCCGATGTAGTGAGCTGTAAACCTATGGAGTCCAATCGAATTCATTGACGTCCAGCGGGGCCCATTGCAATCCTGTGCAGTCCAAGGGGGTTATTTCCAGCCTGCTTGTTTGTCGGACGGCCCTGGAAGGGATGTGATCCATCCGTTCCCACGAGGCTCAAACATTTGTTCATGGCGTCGAGGCAGCTTGGACGTCCACAGCAAGCCCCAGGAACAGGCCCACCGAGGCCCCCAGAGGTGTCCCAGCAGGCATGGGACGGATAGTGCGTTCGAGTGTTCTGGCCATCCGCGGGCCGTCGCCGTCGGCAGCGGCGGCGGCGACCGTTCGGCTGCGAGAGCCCACTGCAGGTGATCTGTAGGGTCTCGCAAGATATCTGCTGGCAGTGGAGTGCGTCCGAGATATCCTGGGTGTTATCTCGCTGAAGTGAGAAGGAGAAGGCTTTCTCAGAAGGCGGCGGGGCTTCTCAGACGCCCTCGCGCCTTCTGAGAGGTTTTCTGCGTCTTCGGGGAAGGCTGAGACAACTTTTCAGACGGCCGGGAGACGTCCGAGCCTTCTTAGAAGGCCCGCCCCTTCTCACTTCCCCCCCGTGCGCTGGTGCTCCTGTAATGGGTCCAAGCGCCCCTGGGCCGAGGGAGCAAATTCCCTGCGCCGGGCTCCCACTACAGGTGCCATGTAGGGTGGTCCGTCCGAGCAGAGCTTGTGCGCGGGCGGGATCGACCCTGGCCGCCGCCTTGGAGTCTTGCATCCGTCTCGGCCGCTCCATTGCCGTCTTCGCCGTCGTCGTCAGTTGGTGTCGTGGTGCTTCTCGGGGCCTCTTGGGTGCCTCCTGGGGTTTCTTATACACAGGTCTCTTGGCGGCCTGGGGCTTTCTGGGGCATCTGCAGTGCATGCTGACGATCTTGTGGCTCACGTTGGTGCTGGGGTCTCGACATGTCGGTCAGTGCTCCCTCCCCCTTTTGGGGCTCGCTTGAGGCCTTCGCTGGGTCCTTTGCAGGCCATCTTGGGAGCCTCTCGGGCCGTCTTCGGATCCACTTTGGCCCTCTTGGGGGCCGCTTCGGTCGTTTTGGACCGGTCTCGGCCTCGGGGTCGTCTTCGGCCGTCTTGGACGCTACCGAATGCTGCAACAACCATGGAGCATCAATGATTTGTGCCTTCCAGTTCCCTCTTGCGACCCTGTTGGGCCGTATTGAGGCCATCTTGAGTGTACTGAAGCATTCTACGCTCGAGGGCTCGGGACACCCAAGCCGCACAACGATATGGAGCGGATCTTTGTGTCGATCTTTCATCCGCCGCGGAGCCGCGGAATCCAGAATGCAGGAGGGTTCGACTTATTGCGTCCCGCTGCGTTGCCAGTTACCTCGTCCACCTCCTCCCCCCTCCCCATCCATCCTCCGCCTCCCTCGTCGTCGTCCTCACTCCCACCCACCCACCCCGGTCCTCATCCCTCCATCTGGTGACAAGCCCCTCAGCGATGACGAGCTGGGGCGTACTCGGATCGGATCTCCGGGGGGGCCCTTTCCCCCATGGGATCCCGCGGCGCCGCCGCGAGCGCATCCCGCCAGAGGCGGGTTTGGCTGATGCGACGCCGCCGTGGGCCACGCTGCTGCGCACATTCGCGTCCCTCCTCCCTCGCTGAACACGTCGGGACGGCATAGGCGTAAACGTTCGGAGCTCCGGGAGTTGGTGCTCGTGCCGTCTTTTGTGCCCCTCTTTTGTATTACTGCTCGCATGCGTGTCGCTCGCCCGTCTCGCTCCCCCTCGGCCTCGCCCCGCGTGGCCCTGCCGGTCCCGACGAGCACGGCGAGCTGTTCACCAGACTGCGCCCTGCCGCCGGCCTGCGGGGAAGCCCGTCCGAGCCTCCCCGCAGCGGCAAGTCTCCGAGGTGCTCCGAGCTGTCGGGCTCGCCTTCGCCGTTCGCCCCTCGGCTTAGTACGACAGGGCCGTTTTTGTTACCGGTTCCGTTTTGCCGTTTCTGTTGCCGGTTCCGACGCCGCTTTTTACCGGTTCCGTCGCCGTTTTTCGACCGGTTCCGGCACCGGTTCCAATCCTGGAGCCGTTTTTTTGCTGTTTCGGGTTGCTTTTTTGGGGCCGTTTCCATTTTCAAGGGGCATTTTTTCGGAAACGGGGCCCACAAAGCCCTTCGGCCATGTGCAGAGGGGGGTTAAAAAAGGGAGGGGGGAAGCCTTCTCAGAGGCACCCCTGCTGCTCGCAAGGCGCGGGCCTCGTCTGTGGATGTACGGCCCGCGCTTTCTCCGGGAAGCGCGCCTCCGGCCGCCTCCGCAGCCAGGGCACCGTGCAGGGCGCTGCCCACGCGTCCAGCCTCGCTGCCCACGCGCTCCTCCGGTTGGAGATCATGGGAGCCTGGTGAGCCCTTTTTATTCCGTCGTTCGCGTTATGATGTTCCAGCCGACTTTCGCCTGGACCACCAGAAAGAATTCTTTACGCTTCGCGTATCCCCACCAGCCCATCTCACAGCAGCAACTCTCGCGAAGCATGCCGACAGTCGTGTTTTTCAGGCGTGTGTCCGCCTGCCCCCGCATATCTCCCCTGTTCCTCCTTCCTCCCGCCTCCTTGTACATCCTCCTTGTGAGGGGAGCGGGAGAAGGACGAGGCGGAGGAGGAGGGAGAGAAAGCGCTCGTCCTGGTATGAGTCGTTCGGGCCCTTCTTCCTGGTGTGAGTCGTTCGGGCTCTTCGTGGTGTGAGTCGTTCGGGCTCTTCGGGTGTGAGTCGTTCGGGCTCTTCGTGGTGTGAGTCGTTCGGGCTCTTCGTCCTGGTGTGAGTCGTTCGGGCTTCTCGTGGTGTGAGTTGTTCGGGCCCCTCATCCTGGTGTGAGTCGTTCGGGCCCCTCCTCCTGGTGTGACTCGTTCGGGCTCCTCGTGGTGTGAGTCGTTCGGGGCCCGCGTCGTGGTGTGAGTCGTTCGGGCTCCTCGTGGTGTGAGTCGTTCGGGCGCCTCGTCCTGGTGTGAGTCGTTCGGGCCCCTCCTTGTGGTGTGAGTCGTTCGGGCTCTTCGTGGTGTGAGTCGTTCGGGCCCCTCGTCCTGGTGTGAGTCGTTCGGGCTCCTCGTGGGGCCTCTTGGGGGCCTCTTGGAGCCTCGTGGGGCCTCTTGGGGGCCTCTTGGGGGCCTCTTGGGGGCCTCTTGGGGGCCTCTTGGGGCCTCGTGGGGCCTCTTGGGGGCCTCTTGGGGGCCTCTTGGGGGCCTCGTGGGGCCTCTTGGGGCCTCTTGGGAGCCTCTTGGGGCCGCTTGGGAGCCTCTGGGGGGCCTCTTGGAGGCCTCTTGGGAGCCTCCTGGGGGCCTCCTGGGGGCCTCTTGGGGCCATCTTGGGGCCTCTTGCGACCTCCTGAGCGCGGCCCCCTTCAGAAGGCCAAAATGGGGCCAAAACCCTCGTACAATCAATGGTTTCTGCTTCAAAGACGAGCAGAGGGGCCAAACTCGGCCCCCCCGTCGGGGCCAGAATCCTCGTGAGGGTCGTCGTTTTTTGGCCCTCCCAGGAGTCTAAATGGACCCCCCTGAGAACGCTCGGCCCGCCCTCTCCAGGTCCAGGGGAGGGGGTAGAGGGAGGGGTAAGCCCTTCCCCGAAGGGGAAGAAGGGGGGTTGAGGACAGAGCGGGCTCTCTAAACCACTCACGCCCAAAGGGCTGGTGGGATTTCGAGCGCCAGAAAAAAAAAACTACACTCAAGGGTTTTCACGCGTCGGGGCCTGGGAGACCCTCGCCCGACCCTGTTTCGACACTCTTTCGACACGTTTCGGGGTGCTCGAAATTATTTCTGGGAGGTGGTCCTTGAGCAGGATGGGAACATACCAATTCTTCACGCTTCGCGTATCCCCACCAACCCATCTCAAAACAGCAACTCTAGCGAAGCATGCCGACAGTCGTGTTTTTCAGGCGTGTTTCCGCCTGCCCCCGCATATCTCCCCTGTTCCTCCTTCCTCCCGCCTCCTTGTACATCCTCCTTGTGGTGGGAGCGGGAGAAGGACGAGGCGGAGGAGGAGGGAGAGAAAGCGCTCCTCGTGGTTTGAGTCGTTCGGGCTTTTCGTCCTGGTGTGAGTCGTTCGGGCCCTTCTTCCTGGTGTGAGTCGTTCGGGCTCTTCGTGGTGTGTGTCGTTCGGGCTCTTCGTCCTGGCGTGAGTCGTTCGGGCCCCTCCTCCTGCCCGTCCAGAAACGACGCCCAGGCGAGTAGAGGGTCGTCCTGATGGGCTTTTCGGCGTCTTGGGTGCCTCGGGGGGGCCTCTTTGGGCCGTTTGGGATCCTCTTGGGGGCCTCCTGGGGGCCTCTTGGGGCCATCTTGGGGCCTCTTGGTGCCTCCTGGGCGCTTCTCGGGGCCATCTTGGAGGAAATCGATCAAAGAAGAGGAGAGCTTTAATTAGCGCTGCCCCCTCAGAAGGCCAAAATGGGGCCAAAACCTTCTGGTAAAATCAATGATTTTGGCTTGAAAGAAGAGGGGAGCTTTAATTAGCGCCGCCCCCTCAGAAGGCAAAAATGGGGCCAAAACCGTAGTAAAATCAATGATTTTGGCTTCAAAGAAGAGGAGAGGGTTTTTTCTGCCCCCCCCCGTCGGGGCCAGAATCCTCGTGAGGGGTGTCGTTTTTTGGCCCTCCCAGGAGTCGAAAAAGACCCCTCCGGCCACCCGCGAAAGGACCTCTCCAGGCCCAGGGGGAGGGGGTAGGGGGAGGGGTAAACCCCTCCCCGAAGGGGAAGAAGGGGGGTTGAGAACAGAGAGAGCTCCCTAAACCACTCACGCCCAAAGGGCTGGTGGGATTTTAGCGTGGACTTGCGTCGATTAGCGTCAGGGAGTCGATGAGATAGCCCCAGTTCAGCGTCGACGCAGCGTCGATGCAGCGTCGATGTACCCGTCGACCTGGCGTCGTTCCGCTTCGGTTCGCGAGAGCCGACGAGATGGCCCTCAAGGAGGCTCCCGTGCGCTTGCCGCCGAGCGCCCCGCCCCGCTCCCCCCCCCTCGGGCGGCGTGCGCCCCGCCCCCCCCCCCCTCAGGAAGCAGGCCTGCGCGGTGAGGCAGCTGGAGGCGAAGCAGGAGGCCCGCGCGGGGGGCGGCCGCGCGGCGGCCGCGGCGGGCGCCCGACGCCGCCCGCCCCGGCGCGAGGGGCCCGCGGGGCCCCGCGTGGAGGGGCCGCGGGCGAGGGAGCCGCGGAGGGCCCGGACGGCGGAGCTCCCCGCGGGGGAGGGGGGGGGGCTTTTGCGGCCCACCGCCGCGGCCCACGGGCCAGGAGGGGGAGGGAGGGGGGAGGGGGGTGGTAGGGGGAGGGGGAGGAGGGGGAGGAGGGGGGGAGGATTTGTTTGTCAAGGTTATTTTTACATTGGGGGGGGGGGGGGCAGGAGGAGGAGGAGGAGGACGGGGGAGGAGGACGAGGAGGGGGGGGGGGAGGGGGCAGGGGGAGGGGGGGAGGGGAAGGGAGGAGGGGGACAAGCTGGGTGCGCTCGCCTCGTGTCTGACGTCCTGCCCCTCCCTCCCATCCCTCATCATGGCGTAGGTCTTCTCTCCCACTCGCGCAGTCGGACGTCGCAGCAGGGCGTAGCACTACATTGCATGGCGTGGTCTTGAAGATCAGCGCGAAGCACGACGTGGCGACGCCCCAAGGTGGGGTGGGGGGGGGGCTTCTGCGGCCCCAGAAATCGACGAACCGACACCGAATTTGCAATCAGTTCTGAACGATTGCAATGAGGCCAACGCTGCAGCGGGAGCGCGATTCGGAACGAGCGGAAGCCCGAACATGAGGCCAGCGGTTCAGCGGGAGCAGCGTTTTGAAAATAAACCAAGCGAAAGCCCAGCTCCTGGGAATCCTGTGTGTAAAATGCAATGCGCGGAGGGGGGCCGGATATCTTCTGGACGTCATCAGGGGAGAGAGAAGAGTCGTATTCATAGTGTATCAATGTGAACGAGGAGGAGGATGAGAACGAGGAGACCTTTCGGTGGCCTTTTTGGGACTCAGGGGACCTCCTCAGGCGTCATGGCGGCCTCGTGCCACCATCCCGGACCGTCTTGGAGGCATCCTTGGGCCATCTTGGGTCGGACAAGGTCTCCTTTTCGCGGTCGCTGAAGGCATTTGAGATCGTTCTGGCGGCAGGGCAGCGCCATCCTGACCGTCTGGGAGTCTAGCCCGCTCGTCTCTGGAAAGTTCAGTGGGGGTTCTCTTGGGGCGTTCGGGCGAGTCCAGGCTTAAGTCGGGCCTGTCCCTCTACAGGAGGAATCTTCAAAACTAGACCAAAAGTAGTCTGGGGACCATTTCAGCATTTCTGGGGTATTTTCATATGAGTATGATTGAGTATTCTGGGTAGTTTGGGGTATTTGTTATGTTTCGTCGAAAATCCCCCTGTAGGGGGGCACGCCCGACGTAAGTCCAGGCCCCTCTTTGATGATCCGGCGGCCCACGGCCCGGTCCTCCCACCGCGCCGTACTTGTGACACCGTCGGGGACCTGCCGGAAACCCTCTCGGAGCTCTCGCTGGCCTCTCTGCTTTGCATGGCCTCCCGCCGTACCTCCGCCACTCCGCTCCGCTATCAGCACCTCCGATAATCAATAATCCTCCTCATGCTCCTCCCCCCATCCTACACTCATCCTCCTCCCTCCTCCTCCTCCTCCTCCTCCTCCTCCTCCTCCTCCTCCTCCTCCTCCTCCTCCTCCTCCTCCTCCTCCTCCTCCTCCTCCTCTCCCCCTTGGAGCTCTCTCTCCGGGCTCTCTCTCTTTGAGACTCCCAAGGGCCCGAAGAGGGGCCCCAGAGGGCACCACGGGAGGCCCTAGGAGGCTCCAGAAGGCTCGCGGGGGCCCCCGAGAGCCCGCTCAGCAGTGTCAGGCCGGAGATTCCTGGCATGATATTGTTGGGGGCTTGCTGAATTGTTGACGCTTCGCGTATCCCCACCAGCCCATCCAGAAACGATGCTCAGGGGAGTTGAGGTGATCAGGGAAGTCGGGGAGCATGCAGAATAACAAGGGGCGGGGGAAGCTGTCACAGACCCCGAGAGGGGGAGGATGGAAGAGGAGTCGTCGTCGTCGTCGTCGTCGGAGGAGGAGGAGGAGGAGGAGGAGGGGGAAGAGGAGGAGGAGGAGGAGGAGGAGGAGGACGGAGAAGGAGGAAGAATCGGAGGAGGAGGAGAAGGAGGGGAAGGAGCTTCTTGGGGGTCTTTTGAGGGCCTCTTGGAGGGCTTTTTGGGCGCCTTGGGGCATCTTGGGCGCCTCTTGGGACCCTCTTGAGGCGCTCTGGGGAGCCTTCGGGGCGCTTTTGGGGCCATCTTGGAGGGAGTCGATAAAACAAGAGGGGGGGTTTAATTAGCGTCCCCCCTCGGAAGCCCCTAAAATCGCCTCTTGGACCCCTCTTGGAACGCTCTTGGAGTGCTCTTGGGCGCTCTTGGGGCCGTCTTGGGGCTCTTTTGGGGCTCTCTTGGGGCCCTCTTGGGCCATCTTGGAGCCATCTCCAGGCCTCGGATGGCCATCGGAAGCGAAAAGGCGAGAAAGCAAAAATCATTGATTTTCCTTAGGTTTTGGGACGATTTTGGCCTCTTCGGGGCCTCCTTGGGGAGCTGTTTGGCCACTTGGAGTTATCTTGGGGCCGTCTTTGGGCTTCTTGAACCATCTTAGGAGCCATCGTGAGCGATCTTGCGCTATCTTGAGCCATCTTGGAGCTCATCTTGGGTTCTCTGAGGCGCTCTTGGAGCCGTCTTGGGCCATCTTGGACGCTCTAACTACCCGCGGCCCCCCCCGTCCAGGTCCAGGGGAGGGGGTAGGGGTAGGGGTAAACCCCCCCCCAAGGGGGAAGAGGGAGGGGTGGAAGAGGATCTGTTCTAAACCACCTACGCCCAGAGGGCTGGTGGGATTCTCGACCTCCGCCGCCAGGCCCCCCCCCCCCGCCCTCTTATCTCCCCGATCCAAGATCTTATATCTATCATCCTCCAAGCCTTCGATCCTCCTCCTATCCCCTTAGCCTCTCATCTCATATCCTCCTATCGCCCTAAAAGCGTAAATCGAAGAGCAAGCAGGGCAGGCCCTCGACGAACGAGGGGCTCACCGTCGGCCGCGGGCGCGGAAGGGGCGTCGAGGGCGTCGGCGTCGACGGCGTCGGCGGCGAACTGCGCGCCCGTCGTGGTGGTGGGAGGCTCAGACGAATGGTGTCTCCTTGAAAAAATGGCTTGGTCCTGCTCCTGATCATCGACCCTGCTCCTCCCCCGTGTCCTTGCCCTATTCGTTGTCGAGCTACGGTCCTCCATTGCCTCCTCTTCCTCCTTGATGTTGCCCTCATCGTCCTGATGCTCATCCCACTCCTCCTCCTCCTCCTCCTCCTCCTCCTCCTCCTCCTCCTCCTCCTCTTCCTCCTCCTCCCCCCCCTCCTCCTCCTCCTCCTCCTCCCCCTCCCCCCCTCCTCCTCCTCCTCCTCCTCCTCCTCCCTCCTCCTCCTCCTACCCCCTCCTCCTCCTCCTCCTTCCTCCTCCTCCTCCTCCTCCTCCTCCTCCTCTCCTCCTCTCTCTTCCACCCGCCCCCCCCCTCTTCCTCGTCGTCGCCCTCGGGGTCGCGCGCAGAGCGCGCGTGCGCGCGCGTAGCAGCAACTCGCCATTAACGCGACGGGGGGGCCCCCCCCTTCCGCCGCGCTCCGCCCGCCCACGGAAAATCCGGAAGCTTGCCCCCCTTCTTCTAGAACTTCAAGTGATTACCAATGTTTTTCCATTGGAAATCTCTCATCATCCTTCTCCTCGCCCTCCTTATCCTTGTCCTCCGTCCCCCCCTCCCTCCCCCCTCATTTGTCCCATCCTCATCTTTATGCCCCTCCCTCTCACCATCCTTCCGCCACTGACTCGCACTCTCTGCATGGGGGGCCAAGAAAGATAAAGTCGAAATGCAGCCCCGACGGCGCAGTCGTCTGGGTCGACGCCGACCATGCTCCTGATGTGGACGAGGCGGTCGCGCTCGGAGCTCAGGCAGCCCGTCATGGCTCGGCGGCGACCCTCGCGCCCCCGCCTATCCCTCCTACAATTCCCTGCCCCTGCCAACCCCCACCCTCCGCCACTTTCGACCCCTGTAACCGCTCCTCTGCTACTATCTCATCCGACTCATCACACCGTTTCTCCACTCCCACGCATCGACCTACCTTTTTTGTACATGGCCACTGCCTTCGCCGCCACCGCTGCCACCGCCGTCGACGACGAAGTTCGTCGCCAACAGATTCGTCGTCGACGTCGCACGTTGTAGACCTCATCGCTGCATATGCTGTCGCCGACGCAAGCGCCATCGCTATCGTCGACGTCGCCGACAAAATCGCCATCGTCCACGTCCTCGACTTCGACGCGCCCCTCAGCCCCCCGCGCGCCTGGCGGCGGCGCGCGGGGTTGTCGCGCATCCTCCTGATGTGCTTGCCGCTCTCTTCTCGAGAGCGCCTGGCGCATCCCTCGCGACCGAAGGGCGCCTCTAGGGGGCGCGGGGTCGGGGAGGGAGGGGGGGGGGGGGGGGGGTGGGGTGGGGGGGGGGGGGTGGTGGGGGGGAGGCGGAGAGGGCGTCGGAAGAAGGGGGTCAGGCGGGGGGTGGGAGAGGGCGTCGGGGTGGAGGATGGGTCTGGAGGGGGAAGGGGGGTTTCTTGACGTCAGATGGTTGTCGGGCTGATTTGACGAACTGACGATCGTCTGACGTCAGATGGTCGTCAGGGTTGAACGGGTGATCTGACGACGATCTGACGTCGGACGATCGTCAGACCGACGGCCGCGATCCTGGTCGGGCGATCTGCCCCCCCCCCTCCCCCCCCCCTCCCCCCTCCCCCTCCCCCCCCTTCCCCCCCCCCCCTCCCCCCCCGCCCCCTCCCCCCCCTCCCCCTCCCCCCCCCCCTCCCTCCTCCCCCCCCCGCTCCCCCCCCCTCCCCCCCCCCCTTCCCCCCCCCCCCCCCCCCCCCCCCCCCCCCCCCCCCCCCCCCCCACCCTGACCACCCGCTTCCAGGAGAGGGGGGGGGGGGGGGGGGAGGAAGGGGAGAAGGGAATTGCTTCACTATAGTTTACGGCCACATTAGAAACTGCCAGCCTGGCGATCGCCTGGCGCCAGCTGGT